TGAACCCCAGAGCGGGGGACTATCTCCTGAGCTCCCTCAGTTTCAATGAGATCAGCATCCTTAACCGGAACAGAAGCTCCATCATCGAGGACCTCTTTCACAGAGCTAAGGAAAGATCCTCCCTAATTCTTCTCACTTCCTCGTGAGGTGCTGGCTGCTTTCGCGGGTCTACCCCTAGATCGGAACGACGGTTGGAGAGGCATCTTGGCTGATTGGGTCTTTTCGGTTCCGGAAGTGCTAGCTCCCGTCGAAATCGATACCACCGAGTTACCTTCGGGACTGCATTACCAAACCCTCTTCAACATTCTGATATCTTAAATAAGCTCACATACGTCAAAGACGTTAGAATAAGTACATTACCTTCTAAGTCTGTGACTGGCACATGGTTTAGGAAGGAAGCGTTATACCGATCCGGGAATATAGCTGATCCTATTTGAGAAGTCGTGTACGACGCCCAGGTACAGGGAGTTTGCTGCAATTTTTGAAAAAGAGCTCTGGTAAGTTTGTTCGGGAGCTCAACAGGATCCTCGATATCTGCAAGCATAACCAAACATCTGTTAGGTTGCAATCGATAAAAATAAACAAACACATTCCTAAGAAATCCTAACCGGACGCATCGGACCAAGAAGTCCTAAGGATACGACCCGCGGGAACCGTCGAGGGGTCAATTTTAACGTAAAAATATTTCCTCCGCCAATCGTCATCACTGCTAGAAAATTTGAAAATGCCCAACCTGGGACGACAAGGAAGGTAATAGGTCCCGCTACCACCTTCCTTGGAAGCACTCTCCTTTATCGAAAACAGGCTCATTAAAGAGCTAAGCCCGGTAGCAACTCCCTCTTCTTTGGATCTAGTGATGAAACCGTTTATCTCTCGAATAACCGAAGGACAGAGTTGGGAAAGGGCTAGTTGATAATGATCAAGAAGGTCTAACAGGAGGTCAGGGAGGGGAAACCTAAGGTGGCTCTTGGAAATATAGTTCTCGTGAACGCAGAACCAACCCTCCGGAGCCGTCTCGGGGGTTTCCTCGGGTTTACAATCCCTGGCCAATTCCCTTCGACCTTGGGCCTGAACCATAAGGTTCACAACCTCTTGGCTCTTTAGAACAGAGGGTGGGTGAGATCCGTAAGGAGCACTCCCGCTGGAGCCCCCGGTCTTTTTTGTTCGCTTGGAAACTCTCTGGGATATCGACTCCTTAGCCCTCTTCTTCCTCTCGGTCTTCCTCATGGTTTCACCAACTTCTTGTTTCACCTTCATAAGCTGAGCACCAGTAGCAGAGATTCCTGACTCTCCAGAACCTTCTTTTGGTCGGGTCATAGCAAAAACGACGAAAGAAATCGAAAAGAGACAAGAAAGGAAAAAGAAAGATCGAACTAATGGATCAAAGTCTCTGGGGGCAACAGTTTTAAAAGAGATTACTCGAAAGCTTAACAAAAAAAAAAAAAATAATGAGCAAAAGAAGGTAAAATAAGGAGCCGAAGGAAGTTACCAGGAAAACTGAATCGAAACGTGGAGAAGATGGGTAGAGTTGCAGTTAATGTGTACAGCTTTATATCCCGTAAATTCTCAAAAATCGGGGATAATTATTTCAAATTCGTTTCATCTGAGTCGTTGATTACACTAGAGGCAATTGTATCCGTGAGATTGGATGAGAGATATCCTCGAAAGAAGATCACGAGTAATCATTATCTCAACGAAAAGGTTGAGATTCGGCAGCTAGGTTTAGCTTCCGAGAAAAGCATATTCTCTCGAAATCTGGGGGCAACTGTTGGGCCCAAATACGGCCCATTAGCTGAAACTAACAGGCTTGAGTAATAAGGGTTGACAATGGGCTATTATAAGCCCATTAGTAATTAAGTCTTGAGAAAGGAATTAAAAGGAAACCGGAGGCTGTTAGCTCAGGAAGAATGGTTAACAATACATGTCACGGAAGAGAACTCCGGACCTCATTTACAGAGAGCTAGTAGGAGTAGCTCAGGATGAATGCGCAGGACCCGGTCAAAAGGAGACTGTTGAGAATCCCTTAACTCACGGAGCAAATCTCGGAGGTTAGCTAAGATCGTTAGAGCGCAGCTGAGAGCTATTTAATGAGGAGGAGGAGATCAGAACGAGGGCCAGATTTTCATTCACCATTCACACATTGAAGAACTCTAAGAACATTCTTTATTCTTTGTAATCACATATCGATAAACTTGTAATCCTCTTTTACCAAAAATATCAATACAACCATATTCATTCTTTAAGTTCTGAATAGGATTCAGCCCACGTTATCTTTTCTCCAACTTGAACCTGATCTAAATTAGGAAATGAGTTTTATCCCTCACAGTACCTAATCATATGTAAATATGTAATTTAAATTCTGCGTATATTTTTAATGTGTATGTGATATTATGATGGAAATATTATTTAGTTTAATATATTATAAGGATTTTAATTGAACAAATTTTAAATAGGTTATTCAATTAAAAACTATTAATAAATGTGATTTTACTTAAAGTTAGTGAAACCTATATTAACCCATTTACATATATATATATATATATATATATATATATATATATATATATATAACAGAACATATTAAAACTTATTTTTCAAACATTTTCCAAACATTTTGATCGATTTTCGGTGCGGATATTGGTTTTTGGATATAACACTTTAAGAACCATTTGAGTATATAAGTCAAATCTAATAGAGTGTGAGATTTTGATTTTCGAGTCGATTCCAAATCAGGTTTTTTTAATACGAATATTTTTAACTAATTAAATTAGGTAACTAATAACTTTTTTAAAAATATAACACATTGCAAACTTTAGGAATAATTTTAAAAATAATTTCTGAAATACGTATGGCATACATGTGTAGTTATGCAACTTGACATATTAAATATTTTTATATAACATTTATTAAATTAAATTAATATTAAACACAAATATAATAAGAAAATAACATAAATATAAAAATTAAGTTAATCTATACTATTATTTGAGAAGTAAATTTGCTTAGTTGTCAACTTCTCCTTGATTTTAGGTAAATTTTTTTATTTACCTTATTTAAATAATTTCATATACAATTTATTATTTAATAAAAACGAATTTATATTAATAATATTATATTTAAGAAAATATGTTAATTATTTTGTATTAAATTGTTATCTTAAAAATATATTTTTCTATTATAAAATTCAAGTGAATTTATTGATTGATTTGTAACTTCTCCATGATTTTTGTATTTCTGCTTATTTGTTATATTTTTAATAATTTTATGAATAATTTATCATATAATAATTATAAAATTCAAGTGAATTTATTGATTGATTTGTAATTTCTCCATGATTTTTGTATTTTTTCTTATTTGTTATATTTTTAATAATTTTATGAATAATTTATCATATAATAAAATGAATTTCTATTAATAATATTATACTTTTAGAAATAAGATAATTCTTATTATTATATTGTTATCTTTAAAATCTGTTTTTTATCATAGAAATTAAAAATTAAGTTAAAATATTAATAGTTAAATATAAAGAAAGCAATGTTGATTTATCAACTTCTCCATGGTTTTATATTTTGCTTATTTATCATATTTTAATAATTTCATATATAATTTATTAAATAATAAAACGAAGTATACTAATAATACTAGATTTAAGAAAATAAGATAATTCTTATATATCATATTGTTATCTTGAACATATATTTTCTATTAGAAAATTTAAACGAATTATCTGATTTGTAATTTCTCCATGATTTAGATAATTTTGATTATTTGTCATATTTTTAATAATTTCATATAAAATTTATTATAAAATAAAAACGAATTTCTATTAAAAATTATATTTTGAGAAAATAAGATACTTCTTATGTATTATATTGTTATCTTGAAAATATTTTTTTTATTATAGAAATAAAAAATTAAGATATAAAAAATTATAATTAAAATAGATTAAAGCAACACATTTGTAAAAATATATTATGTTATGTGAGTGTTATCATTTATAATTAATTTTAAAACTTAAATTCTAACTTATTATATTGGTTTGAATTAATTAAATATTAACTAATAATGAATTTTAGGAAAATTATGCCCGCATGTGCGGGCTAAACACCTAGTTCAAAGTAAAAATAAAAATTATATCCGTCCATTTAAAGGCAGGTCATAATGTAGTTTTGTATTAAAGAAGAGAGTTTCATTAGAACACGTGCCAGTCAATAACATAGCGATGGGGGAAATTAAAAATAAGAAACGACTACCCATACAAAGCCCAATTAAATATTGAAAACGGATAACTGTATCACGCTTCAAAACCGATGTCTGAGATTAAACAAACGGTTCATCTTGTTGACACGCTACATAATGTTTAGGAAGAAAAGCCATAGAGATGTTGCTTGTACGGTAGATACGATCTTCTCTTTTCTTCTTCAGAAAGATTAGAATTTTAATTAACTAGTTGCGATGAGGTAATACTTGACTCTTTTGTATTTGGGTGATTTAATAACATGTCTATTAACTTGCCCAGATAGACAGATATATTCATTCTTCATAAGCACAAAAAGAAAATCGTAAAATCTGATTTCAAATAAGAAAAGTTAAAGCAGATGTAAAGTTTGCCTCAAACCTGAATCTTGATCCTTAAAATAGGCTATGAGCCTATGAGTATTAATAAAGGAGGAATAGGCATGTCTTCGGCTTTAGGAGAAGATTTGTGGATCCATACGACATGCTTTTGCCTTCATCATAGGTTCAGTGATGCATAACCATGAATCTTTTCAACCAGTGTTATGTTACCTTCTTCTCCAAGAGATTATAAAAAGATGATCTTTACAATTATAATCTCTACTGAATTGTTTTAAATAAGATTTGCGAATCAAGTCTAGTGGTTGTTACATCACACTTTCTTACTAGTTTGAGTTTTAAAATGTGTATATTTTCGACACATCATCCATATCATATGGATGGAAAATCATGATAACCTCCCGACCCGACATCTCCTCAGATAGGGGTCGAGAAAAATACAGGTTCATGTTAATATAAAAGTTTGGGTCAAAGTACACACTTTTAACCAGGTTCGTGTGACATATACAAAGCCTGAAAGAACATGATAATACTTTAATGGATGGATACTTAGTATCCGAGTCATACACAAGAAGAATCTGTTAACTCATACTATCAAGTATGTACAATATTAAATCAACCCAAGAATGTAAAATGGCTAAACTTTGGTGCCAGCTAAATTCCAAACACGCAGCTTCCCACTCTTGTCTCCAGTGAATAACAACCCTTCAGGACCAACTGTGATTGCACCGACCGTGTTGGTCGAGAACATCTTTCCTCTCTCTTCAAAACTGTTTGCATAACCCAAAAAAAAACAAAACTAATTGAGTAACAATGGCTTTAAGGTTAAAGTACAATGTAAACTCGAGAGACTTTAGGACTAAGCTCCACTTACGATGGTAGATCGCGTATGCTGACTGTTCCGTTTTGGTAAGAACAGAACACGATCGGTTTGCCCTCTGCATCGCTCATCCCACAAAGACTATGCACACTCTGTTTCAAACCACAAAGAACGAAAACATTAAGAAACGTTTTTAATTATAACCAAGTGTGGTTCATCGTCATGAGCAGAAAATAAGGTGTGTATACAAAACACTTACTTGTTCTTGTCTGCGTGTATTTGTAACTTTCAAGTTACCGTTTTCAGAACACGCCCAGACTTTGATGGTCCCATCCAAAGAAGCAGATATGAGATACTGATCCCAACATAGGAGCGACGTGACAGTGTCGGTATGTTGCCTCAGTGTCATTGTACATTCCAGTGTACTGAGATCCCACACCTTTATTGTTTTATCAGCAGATCCAGAGTATAGTCGCTGACCTCCAACTATAAAGCATGTGACTTCACCGCTATGGTGTCCCTCCAGAGATGTGAGGTATGTGAAAGGATCAGACTCAGAGTCAGTTGCTTTCCAGACAGATATGCTACCAGACTGCGCAGAAAAAACAACTTACTTTTGAACCAACAATGAAGCAGATAACTAAAGTAGAAAGCAAGAGAGGAAAAACTACAACACTTACACTTGTCCCAGCAAAAAGCATTTCATTGCCAACAGTCATAGCACGGACCTGACCAACCACCCCGTTAAGATGCAAATCTTTACTGGTTTGAACATCAAAAGCCTGCAGATTTGTACATAAACAAAAACAATGAGACCAGAGCCAAAGCCAAAGCCAACACAGCAAATCCCAGTCAAGAGTATAGACGACTGTAATAATATACGAGATTCCTTATACTAACCTTTACAGCATTTGGCAAGCCAAGGAAAACCCATGATCCTTCACTCATTAACGACCCTGCTTCTGCCTGGAGGTTGATTGTATGAACACACTGGCCAGTGTGACAGTCCCATATTCGCAATGTACCATCGGTACTGGCTGAAAAGAGTTTATCTGAACCCTGAGGAAGTGCAATCCCCTTAAGATCCTATAGACAACAACAGGTTACCAAAAAAAAAAAAAAAAAAAAGAAAGCGTTAAATATTTATTATTATAGCCAATAGTCAAAGAGTAAAAAGAAGGTTTTAAAAAGGAAACAAACCTTCTTGTGTCCATCAAGAGAAGCTACCATGACCATTCCAGGGAGGCTAGTCCAAGAGTGCAAGAAAGAGCATTGATCACCCTTCTTGCAGTTTCCAGCTTTCCAAAACTTACACAGACATTCCATGGATTTGGGACTGCCTTTATCTTTAGATCCCCACCCTCTCGTGTCTGAAACAGATGAGCTTCTTTGCTCACCATACGCAGCATTCTTCCTCTGTAGGTTTGACACACTGGATCCTGCCCCTGAAACTTGTGGCTTAGTTGACCCATACGTGGTGGTATCATTCTTCCTTGGCATGTTGGCATCTGATGCAGTCCAAACCAGATTCCTAGACCACTTATTAGGAGCCTTGTTCATTCTGTTTGCATAAGGTCGTCTGGGAACTATATCAGCCACAGAATCTTGCTGTCTTGCCACTCCGAAGTTCCTGCCGTTAAAGTATCTCCTTGGAGCCTTGTAACTCATACTATAAAACACACATTGCGAAAAACACAAACTTTAGTAGACTGTATCCACAGATCCAATAGCTGTTGCTTCATCCATGATGATCCACAGAAAAGCTCAGAAGAGTAACACGCTTCGCAAGATGACTGATAATCAAACACCTCCAAGTCCATGCTAACGCTTCCAAGTACCGTAGAGAGCAACCAAGTCGGCAGAAATCAAAAACAAATCCAAATAAACCTAATCTCCATTCCTAAACCCTAATCTAACGCCATAGATGATCCATCTTCACATGATTCGCGAGCGTATATAAAAAACCCTAACTATATACAAAACCCTAACTATATATGAAACAGCCAATAAGATCGATTTGATTCCGTCATCCTTCATCGGCGAAACCCTAACTTTCTGAGTAATCGATGCGAATAGGGACGACGAAGAACATCGAGACGAAGCGGAAACCGAAACTGAAAGCACGAAGAAGTCATCGGAGATCCGAAGTCGAAGAAGAAGCAAACCTGAGAGATCAAACGATCGTATGATCTAGATCTTCGATTCGCGAACGGTTTTCTACTCTAGAGAGAGCAAAAAACGATGACTGTTTTTACGCGGAGAGATAAAAAAAAAAAAAAGCAAGGAGACAAATGAATTACCTATCGCTTCAGCGATATATTTATAGAGATGGATGTGGAGGTTGGTTTCTTAATTGGGCCCACTTAAGGCCCATAATTACAAGTCGAAATTTATGATTCAAGAAAAACAAACGAACTGTGTTTTATGGGCCCAATCTTTGTTATTTTTACTGTTTTTAAAAGGATTTTCTTATATATATATATACTAGGGTAAACCCGCCCTACGGGCGGGCGGATAAATAAATTAATGATACAATTTAAATTTTAAATTTTACTTTTAACTAAAATACTACTAAGTTTCCTAATTTTTTTTATAACAGTTTTATCTATATATTTTAAAATTCACTTTAGAAATTATTACCATATCTATTTATAATAATTTTTAAAATATAATTATTTAATTTCTCTCAACGTTTATTTTAATTTAACTATACCAATAAGACACACTAAAATTTAAACTACAAAACACTATGAAACATTAGTTGTTTTTAAAAATTAAATTGCCGGCTAGTTGAAAAAGAACTATGATTAAACCAGAAAACTCTTCTTGTGAATGCTATATTAAGTAATAGTTATTTTGGTATAATCGACATGTCAATTCTCATGATTGTATTTTCTTTTCATGTCTGCAGTATTTTACGTTGTTTCAAAACGCATTGGAATTTCTTTTGTTTCTGAAACATTGGAATCTTGAGACTGCAACAGATGACTATTGCTGTCATTAAAGCTTGTTTGGCATGAAAAGCAGCAAGTCGTGGACAACAGTTTGATGGAAATGCAGTTCCAAATGTTAACATTCATCTACAATAACTCATGATGCATGATGAACTCTAAATGCATTTTCAGATGCTAAAGTTCCTGATACTGGCACTGTATCGTAAGTACCAATCTCAGTTTCTATGTTCTTTTCCTTCTTTCGATTAGGAGTCAAGTCGTTTTTCTTCTTTCGATTTCACATGGGAGTTACAAAATCTCAGTTTTTTTATTTCTTTACCTTTTGACATTTTCATAACCTTGAACATAAAGCAACACATGAGGTCAAAACTTATTAACGTGTTGCAATGCATCAACCAAAGGGCTGGTCCTATCTAACATATTAAGCAAAACCCTTGAGGCTTGGTTTTCCCACTTTGGTACTACTCAAGCTACTTTGGGGATTCGGGGGGACCACAATCATAACTATTTTCTCAATCACCACAGTACCGGTAATCATAAATCCCTTATGTTTCCTCACTGTTTTTTTGTTTTCAGAACATCTATACTGAATTTAGTTGATGGTGGAGATGATCAAAGAGAAACAAATACATATACTGCAACGTAATGAAAGATTCTTTAGTTTAGGAAATGAACTCCTCTTCCCGGAGATGCGTCAAGCTGCCAATCTGGTCGGTTAGGCTCTGGTTGTAGAGAAGTGCATGCATTAATATCTCGTAGTCAATTGGCCCGAAATAACATTCATATTCTTAATTCTAACCTGTGAACCAACATAAACTCGAATCAACGACCATATACAGTAGCATGAAAATGGAATGAGATGATCATATCTTTAACTGGTTATATTCAAAATCTACAAATAATAAAAAGAGAAAGAAACATTTTGACTTTGGTGCCAAACTTAGCTAGCCAATCAGACAGATTGAGGATATCAACATTGCAGCGGAGAGAGCCTTCTTGCATATTCCCATAGCTTACTCCCATATACCTAACAGTATGTTCCATCTTTGTGTATTCACTGGCTTCAATCTTACTTCTCAACTCAAGTTAAGATACCATCTCGAGAATAGGAAACTCATGCTATGCTCAAACATTTCAATGGCGTCTTAGGAGCTTCATTCAAATGTCTACTAATGCCCCTAAAATCATAAACAGAAAACCATAATGAAATGTGGTGGAGCAATTGGGTAATTGTGAGAATACGGAAGACAACATCCCTTATAGATATCTATAAGAAAATTTTATAGAATAACAATGGAGGAAGGGTGGGAGAAATTAATGAGACATAGTGTGAGGTATTGGGTGTATTTCGAAGAGGGAGCTCTCATCAAGGATCTAGCTTGCTTTGTTCAGTTTAGAACTCATAAACCTCTCAAACATGTTCTAAAGAAATAGTTTTTTTCTTTGTTCTAAATACAATTTTACATTCAATTAAGAAAAAGAAGAAGAGGGAGTTCTCAACGAAGCAATCACAATCTTGGAAAAGGAAGAAGAAATGGCGGCCAAAACCCTAATAAGGTCTGGAGCTTCGCTGCTGAATCAGTTTGTAGCAAAGCCGACGGCAACGTGAACGTCGACTTCCGATAGAGGTTAACTGGTAAGGATCGGTTGCCTTAACCCTAGTAGAGAACGCTTCGTTTCATCTTTACGGATTTGATTTATGGGCTGGACGGGAAGATGATAATAAGCCTGGTTCTATTTGCAGCCCAAATGTTTCTACAGATTACGTAACAAAACACAGTGGTTTCTCCCCCTCCTGCCACGTGGCAACCTCTTATCTCACTAATTAGTGACATGGCACTCTAAAATTAGAGAAAACCTTACTTTATAGTAATAGATTCAATAAACATATTACTCCCTCCTTTTCATAATAAGTGTCGTTGTAGAGATTTTTTTTCGTTACAAAATAAGTGTCGTTTTCGGTTTTTAATACAAAATCTATTACTTTTATTTTGTAACTTATTTTTCTATTGGTTAAAATGTGGTTAGGTGTATAGGTAATTATATTTTTTATACAGAAAATATACAAAATTAATTATTTCTTTAATCCGTGTGCAGAACTCTAGAATAACACTAATAATGAAACAGAGGGAGTAGTTTAGAAGATTTTTTTTCATTTGTTTGGTTATGTTTTTCTAAGAACATTATATTTATTTGGATCCAATTACAATCGACATGTGTTATATGGAAAGGGAAACAGATGTACGAAACGGAGCCATATGAAAATGCAAAACCGGGTTTTTGAGAAAAAATAGAAAGTGGAAACGTGTTGTAGACGTATATAATATATATATATATATATATATATATAAGAGAGAGAATTTAATAAAAATTGTAACCAAAAATTATATGATTCTAATTAATAATAAAGCATTTATTAATTTGTAATAATTTTGTGATCTATAATACATTTACTGTTTGTGAAAACAATTGGAATATAATGATTGCAAAGCTTTTATTTTTATTTTTAGGTCCTAACCCGTTTTATGACGTGATATTTTTAAAAATATAATATTTTAATTTTAATACAAAATATTTCAAATTTAATATGTATTATATTAAATTATATTTTCAATGTTATAAAACTGAAATGCGATAATATATTTTTAACCCATTTTTCGTGGTACATTTTTATAATAATTTTATTAAAACAATTTGGATATGTTTCTTCAACCTATTGTACTTGATTAATATTTTAAACATGTATTTATATAAATTTGATAAGTATAATATTTTTGGGTGTAGTTATGTTTTTACTTCTATTTTATTTTAAAATTTTTTTATGTGTGGATTTACTGAAACGATTTACGTTGAAATAAATAAATTTTCCCATTACTACATGACTTAAAATCATTTATACTAAACGAAGTATTATACGGGTCATTGTTGTTTTCAGATAAGATAATACTAGGTGATAATCCGCATCATTCGCAAAATAATTGATTAACAAATATTATTATTTTGAATATATAACTTTTAGAAAGTTAAAAGAAGCGGGTTCAAAACTATTAGAAATATTGAAATATTGAACAAAAGTGTGCATGTTTATATAATGAATCTTTTTTATAATGTAACTTGTTAAGTGTAATAAAAGTATATTATATTTAAAGAAATTTTTATGAATAAGTAAAGACTTAAAAATTTATTATGAATTTAAGATAAAATAAAACATAGGAAATAGAATTATTACTTCATTAATAGAAGTTATGATTAAACTATGAAACAGAACAAAGGTAACAGAATAATAAAATATAAAAGAAACAACCAAAATCGAAACTGATAAAAGCACAACTGATGGGAAAAGTTTCTTGAGGACTTCAGATTTGCAATCATATATAGAGAAATAACAAAGAATCCACTAACAAAACTAAACAAACTTATTTGTCAAATTCTGAACACAAAATGATATACCTCTTTTTTTTTAAACATCGATTTCTAGAACATCATGAGTTCAAAAATAATTTTTGAAAACCCATAAATTTTAGTCATATTTTTCAATCGACCTTATCATGATAAAAAAAATGTCAGCAAAATATTAAGAGGATATTAGCTCCAACACTTGTTATTTAAAATTAGTTTAGTACATTACCTATTTACCAATTAATTTGCCAAAATTGTAACACACGAGTTTTTGTTTGGGAGAATGGTTTTTGAAAGTTTGATCTCAGAATAAAAATGTGATGAGGAGAAGTGTCCAAGGTTTCGTATTTATATATACATGATTATCTTTGACGTTAATCTTTAAAGTTAATGTGATAAAATCAAATCACCCTAATTATAGAAAATAATCACTAATTACAATCACATAACTTGCGCTCCAGTTGACATTTAAAACTTGCCTTAACACAAAAATATATTAAATCAAACCAAATTAGGTACAGAAAAACATATAACAATTGCGACGGCAATTAACTTTCATTAACCGTGTGCCAATTTTTAAAAGTTTAGAAACATAATCAAACATAATTGCGATGGCAATTAACTGCCATGACACGCCGAGAAGCTGCTCTCATTCTTGGACTTAGGTATGTCCTTAATCCTCCTGCTTAATCTTTTTTTTTCTTTCTTTTGTTTCTTAAATTGAAAAATGGTCTTCTGGATCATTAAAATGGTCACTTTTCTATTCCACTGTATTTTTTTTCTTTCTTTTGTTGGTTCTTTCCATGCCAATAGTATCTTTCTTTTCAAAATACTGAAGTTAGAGCCAATAAATCTCACAAACACTATATAGAGCACCGTGGCAGAGTTTATAACATAAAAGATAAATGTGATAAAATAATTATCTAAAACATAGAATTTGAGTTTTTAAATATGTTGTTAATAAGTATATTGAGCCGAGGTCTATATATATGTGTTTGATCATGTAGTGGTATTGAAGCTAAGCAGCCTAACTCTGTTATCCGTAAGTGTGCTAGAGTGCAGCTTATCAAGAATGGCAAGAAGATTGCTGCTTTTGCCCCCAATGATGTTTTCTTGAACTGCATTGAGTATTTATTTCTAACGTTTAAATTAGTGAACTTAACAGGGAAGTGAAGAGAAGGCAGCAACATATGAGGAAAAAGAATCATCAACTGCTGATAAGGAATCTCCTCCAGCTGCTCCCTAATAACGGTGATGCCAAGGTTGATGGGAACTGATGTGTTCCATAACCAGTTGCCGTGGTGGCAAATGTTTGGTAGATTAGTCCATGTTGCTCACGGCTTCAGTATTAAATGGCAAAAGAGAAGTAGATATGAACATTCATGTTTACAATTTCTCTTGAGAACAACAAGTGTGGTGGGATTTGAAGCATGGAGTGAAGGAGCTTAGTACCAAAAAGAATGCGTCAAGAGACAGTTGACACGGCTTCCAGTAATTCACGCCTCTCAAACCACTGTCATATATATATGTCCTCTCCAAAAATATGCTATGTTGAATCAGAGCAAAAAAAAATTCTAAAATGGATTCTAGGAGTTGGTGATGGCATAGCAACTCAAACAACTCAGCGTGAACAAATCAGAAGCGACATAATACTAAATTGTCATTAACAAATCTCTCCTGCTGCCAGGTACTTCCAACCCACTTGATAGTTAATATTCTATGTCAATCTGTTTTTTTCAGATTTCATCAACAACTACAAGCATGTGGAAAAATCAGAGGATCAGCAATCTTAAATTTAAGAAAAGATACAGTTGATAAAATCAACAACATCTTGCTATCTAAACTACAGGTCTTCAGAGTAATCATCACAGAGCCTAAAGCTCTACCAACCACCACGCAATTTAATGAACACGGAACTCGCTTCTGCAGGTACTAATAAAGAAGACGACAACGACAACAATGAGTAACCTTACCATTACGCAACCAAAGAGGTCAGAGATTCTCCACAATAATATTGAAGCTGTACTCAGTATGTGTTATTCCCAGGGCAAAAGATCATTCACACATATCAGTGCATGTCGATTACGAAGTATCAACAGAGCAACGGAAGGCGCCAATATCACCAGAAATTGTCCACTTACTTTTTTCCTTATAGATGTGGGGTTATGGGCTCTCTCATTCAATGTTTAGCTCTGCAATGAACTTTTGAAATTATGTTCCACAGACCCATTATGGGCCAGAAAAATCTTTATATACTGTATTGAATAGATTATTTTTATTTTAAATAGATATATGTCCTCTCCAAAAATATACTATGTTGAATTAGAGCAAAAGATATATGTCCTCTCCAAAAATATGCTATGTTGAATTAAAGCAAAAAATATGCTATGTTGAATTAGAGCAAAAAACAAATTCTAAAATGGATTCTAGGAATGGCATAGCAACTCAAACAACTCAGAGCGTGAATAACTCAGAAGCGACAGAAGACTAAATTGTCATTAACAGATAAAAATAAATAAAAAACAGTATAATTGGTTAGTATTGATTTTTTGATTTAATGTTTAAGATTTTTCCAATGGGTTTATGATTTACCCAAGGGTTTAGAATTAGGGTTTAGGGTTTAGTGTTTTAGTGTTAAAATATTTCTTTTAAAGAATTTGTTTCGTTTTTGTAAATATTATTATTTTATTTCTTTTTTGTATTTTTATTTTAAAAACATAACATAACTTAACAAGATTTTATTTCCTGAATAAGAAGATATCAAATATGAAATAGCACCATCCTATTGGTTGGTGAACCTCTAGGTTCACCTTAGGGGGTGAACCCAACAATAACTCAAAGAAATCAACATTTGGATTTGTTATTTTATAGCCGATAAAGATTGTATCTAATTGTTCTGTTAATCTAACTGTTCTTTAGTTCAATAGTGGATATAGAGTATTCAAATACAATAATTTCTAATTAGACAATAGTCTTGAAATAAATTATAAATTGTCTGTTCTTTGTTTGATTCATAGAAACAAAAGTATTTGACATAATTTCAGAATTCTTTTAAAGTACATTACTTTTAGATTTCAATTGTTCTTCATTGTATCATTGCCTTAACACTTAAAAACGAATTCATATAGATTTTACTATCACCAAATAATAAATAATAAATATTAAAATTTAAAAATATATATTGGTTGATTTTAACGTTAAAAATATTTGAATTATATGTAAATTTAACCACATGTTCATAAAATTCAAATAAACAAGTTAAGCGAGTTATTGAATTTGAAATATTTTTTATTCAATTGGTTACCAACTTATATATATTTTGGTTAAATATGAATTTTAATAATTTTATAAATTTTAATAATTTTGAAATTTTAGTCACCAAAAACAATATAAAATTTTAAATTTTTATTAATGGTTTATATAGATTATATAATCTAAGTATATAATATGTAGTCAAATATACACTATAGTAAAATAAACAAAATTAAAATATAGGAAAAAAAACCCGACGTAACCCGGGAAAAGTCTCTATTCTTATATAATAAATCTGATTTTTCTCCCTTCTCATGCTGCCACATCAGCAGAGAGCATGGGCAAAAAAAGACACGTCAGCAATTAACCATGGAAATCAAACTAAAAATGTTAAGTTCTTGTGTTGGTTTGTATTTGGTTTATTATACTGGTTTTTTAAATTAATTATTATGTTGGGCTGGGCGTGTTAATGAGATAAGTGAAAGGCCCACTGAAGATTGAGTATACACTATACAGCTAATATTGCTCAACAACAAACCCCCAAAAAAACTGTCCAAAATGCTTCCACTGTAAGCAGATGCGGAAGTTCATCGAAATCATCCTATTCGCTTAGTCCCTATTAAAAAGTTTATTTACTTTTGAAACCTATTTCTATTCTGCTTATTATGTTTACTTTTGTTTGTTTTTTCTCTTTTTATTGCTTCCTTTACAAATGAACCAATTCCAGATTTTAAAATAAAAAATTTGTCAACAAAACTTTCCCGGCCATACACAACCTAACTCAACAACCATCACACATACTCATCTCTACAACAATACATTATCTATATTTTACTACAGATCAATCAAAAATAAATAAAAAAACAAAGGAAAAAATCCAAAAAATACCATGCAGAGAAATAATAATACTAATATGGGTCCGGTTTAATCAGGTACATCGGTTTGTTATTTTCACTTAATCGATCTTATCACAATGATAACCAATACAAAGTCAAACCACCTTCCTCTCAAATTGCTGTCAAAATTAATAGCATTTCTCGATTTAATGTCTATAATCCTTACAAACCTTATAAACTTTATCAAACTTCTTACAAATTCATTTCAAATAACTTCTCCAATTAGCCCCACCAAGAATAAAAATACAATAACTACATATTTCTACGAGAATAAACCTAACAACTTTACGAAGTCAAAGACACATATTTCCCATACGCTGTCATATCTGTTTCACACAACATTTTAAATTAATTCTAACTAGGTGTTTTCCTGTACTATGTAAAGAAATAAAATTAAAAAAATAAAATTAGTTAATTTTATGTTTACTATTTGGTTACATTATTAATTTTACGTTAATTATATGTAAAAATTAAAAAAAAACTTTTATTTAAATTTATATTTAATAATATATATGAGTATATTTATAGTTAAAATTTTAGATAGATTTTTTATGTTTTTCTTTTAGTTAAAATATGTTATATCAGATTATATACAATTGAAAAAAAAATTATGGTATATAATGGTTAAATGGTATTTCTAAAATTAATAGTTGTTATAAATAAAACTAACGGTTGATATTATAAAAGTATATTTTTTCTAAAAAAACCGCATAAAATTTTCAAAAAGAATTATTAATAAAAACTCTATAATTATAAAAATATACGTGAAAAATATTTCAAAATTTGTAAATATTATTATTTTTTTTCAAAAATCGTAACAATTTTTGAAAACTTTAGTAATACAAATTTTACAATATAAAAAATAAAATAGAGTAATATTTTGAAATTTGTAATGTTATATTTGAATAGATTTATTTTAAGATAATGTATGAGTTATTACCATATTTTTAATTTTTTACCATAAATAAGTATTAATATTAAATGTAAAGTATCCGTTAGTATCATATTTAAAAGGTTTACCAAAAATATAAATCAACATTAAATATTATTATCCATGTCATATTTTGCCATAAGCCATGTGATCAATTTTAATAGCCATGTCACATTTTTTTGTGAAACTGATTGTAGAGCTGACATGTGATAAAAAAACTTTGCAAATAGTATATACCAGATTAGACGCTCCAAGTAACGTATCAATAAATGCAGTTATGATCAAATATTACATATTCAAACCATAACTCTAAAACTATTTGTCTTCTAAAACCCTCAAAAACTTTCTATATAACAAAGGCACCTACCTAGAAAGCAATCATCCTAAAAAACACCAAAATCACTGACTCATAATGTCACGACGAAAGAGACCTCTCGCAGAAATCGAAATCCTCCCAAACGATATCCAAACCAAAATCATTTCATGGGCTGCTAAGATCTCAATAAAAGGCCTACGCAACGTCATGCTATCAAGCCCTACTCTAGCCGAAGCTGCCGCAGATCCTCAGGTCTACAAGAACATCAATCTCTACATCCTAATAGTCTATCCTCTCACACCACTTCGCAGCTACAGAGAACTTATGGAACACTGCCTTGCCGCCGGAAACTTGCAGACTCACTACATACATGGGATCAAAAATATTTCCATAACAACAACATCGGTGTAGGATTGCTTCATTTAAAAATCGCTGCAGAAGGTTTGTACGAAAACACCATTTACACTTTATGGTATAATAATGTTTTGTAGTGGAGAACAAGAGATCAGAAAACGATGCTGGATTCACTGGGATGGAGAGACGACATGAAACACGGTGACACTTGGTGGAAAAACATACAAAAATCACTCCATAGTAAGTGTCACAACCCTAGACGCTACTATGAACGCCTACACAGAAGCAAGGGAACATATCACATGTCACCGAGACGAGATGCACCTTAGTTGTGAGAGCTGCTATTATTACAAGCAGATCTACAAATATACTTCTACTTTTAGGGAAGTTATCTAGCTCCCTACTAGAGAATAAGGTTCAAACTCTACAAAACTTCTATAAGGCTGAAACCAAATTAAGAAAAAAATATTATAACTACCTGTAAATAATAATAATGCGTTAAAGCATCCGTGGGAAAATAATAAAACAATATTAACCATCCAGTACGTCAAAAAAATAAATTACAAATAACACTAAATTAAAACGCAGCCCTAATAATTAAACAAAAAAAAGTTTAATACATACTCCCAAATTTCTCAAACTAACAACAATTAGAAAAATCATGATTCATTAAAAACGATTTCTTCTAATACCGGGTTCCCAAAATACATCGAATATCTTTAAAACAAATGCTTGAAAAAAACTAAACACAAAAATGAATTTTTCAATAATAAAAATATAACACAACCCGTACGTAGCACGGACGTTCCACTAGTATTCAATAAACATATTAGTTTAGAAGATTTGTTTGGTTATGTTTTTCTAAGAACATTATATTTATTTGGATCCAATTACAATCGACCTGTGTTATATGGAAAGGGAAATGAATGTGCGGAAACGGAACAGTATGAAAATGTAAAACCGGGTTTTTGAGAAAAAATAGGAAGCAGAAACGTGTTGCAGACGTATATATATAATATATATATATAAGAGAGAGAATTTAAGAAAAATTATTACTAAATATTATATGATTCTAACTAAAAAATAAAGCATTTATTCATTTGTAATAATTTTGTGATCTATAATACATTTACTGTTTGTGAAAATAATTTGAATATAATGATTGCAAAGCTTTTATTTTTATTTTTAGGTTCTAACCCGTTTTATGACGTCATATTAAAAAATTTATAATATTTTAATTTTAATAAAAAAAATATTTCAAATTTAATATGTATTATATTAAATTATATTTTCAATGTTATAAAACTGAAATGCGATAATATAATTTTTAACCCATTTTGTCGTGGTACATTTTTATAATAACTTTATTAAAACAATTTGGATATGTTTCTTCAACCTATTGTACTTGATTAATACTTTAAACATGTATTTATATAAATTTGATAAGTATAATCTTTTTGGGTGTAGCTGATTTTTTTACTTTTATTTTATTTTAAAAGATTTTATGTGTGGATTTACTGAAACGATTTACGTTGAGAAAAGTAAATTTTCCCATTACTGCATGTCTTAAAATCATTTATACTAAATGATGTATTATAGGGGGCATTGTTGTTTTCAGATAATATAATACTAGGTGATAATCCACGTCATACACGGAATGATTGGTTTAAAAAGATTATTATTTTGAATATATAACTTTTAGAAAGTTAAAAGAAGCGGGTTCAAAACTATTAGATATATTGAAATATTGAACGAAAGTGTGAATGTTTATATAATGAATCTTTTTTATGATGTAACTGGTTAAGTGTAATCAAAGTATATTATATTTAAAGAAATTTTTATAAATAAGTAAAGACTTAAACATTTATTATGAATTTGAGATAAAATAAAACATATGCAATATAATTATTACTTCATTAATAGAACTTATGATTAAACTATGAAACGAAACAAAGGTAACATAATAATAAAATATAAAAGAAACAACCAAAATCAAAACTGATAAAAGCACAACTGATGAGGAAAAGTTTTTTGTGGACTTCGGATTTGAAATCATATATAGAGAAATAACAAATAATCCACTAACAAAACTAAACAAAATTATTTGCCAAATTCTGAACACGAAATGATATACCTCTTTTTCTGAAAACATCGTTTTCTAGAACATCATTGAGTTCAAAAATAATTTTCGAAAACCCATCAATTTTAGTCATGTTCTTCAATCGACCTTATTATGATAAACAAAACAATGTTAGCAAAATATTAAGAGGATATTAGCTCCAACACTTTTTATTTAAAATTAGTTTAGTACATTACCTATTCACCAATTAATTTGCCAAAATTATAACACTCGAGTTTTTGTTTGGGAGAATGGTTTTTGAAAGTTTGATTCCGGAATAAAACTGTGGTGAGGAGATGTGTCCAAGGTTTCGTATTTATATATACATGATTATCTTTGACGTTAATATTTAGAGTAAATGTGATAAAGAAAAATTACAGAAAATAGTCACTAATTACAGTCACATAATTTGTGCTCCAAATGACATTTAAAACTTGCCTTAACACCAAAATATATGAAATCAAACCAAATTAGGTACAGAAAAACATATACAAATTGCGACGGAAATTAACTTTCATTAACCGTGTACCAATTTTTAAAAGTTTGGAAACATAATCAAACTTTCCTTTTTATACAAACGTAATTGCCGTACCAAGGTAAGCGCTAGATTTTGTCATATCAATTCACTTTCTATTTTTAAAATTGTAATTATATATATATATATTTATTAATCGTGTGCTGTAATTTTAAAATTTGGAAACAAACCATTAATTATAAATGCATAATCAAACAATAATTAAAATTTTGGAAACATAATCAAACTTTCATTTATATACAACCAATTATATAATGATTCAATTTGACGTTTGCAATCATCAGCAAAAAGTTAGCTCAAAATTCATATTTTACATTTGATTATGCTAATAGTAGCAACATTAATTTATGGTCGACAGATGACTTTGAGATGTCAATGACGTATAGTATGTTATGTATTAGGTATGTCTGTATATAATAAAACCCAAAATCTCACATTCGATATGAAGAAATTTTCTACATAACTTAATACATATTCGACTATAATTAACATTATAGTTCTACAGCTTAATACGTAATATCTACATACTAGGATAAGACCCGCGCCTTGCGCGGGATGAAGCTATTATTTTTATTATGTTTTTAAAAATGAAACAATAGTTCGGTTTCATTCGGATTAGAGGTGTTCAATCCGGATATCGGGTTTCGGTTCGGTTCGATTTTTTGGTATTTCGATCATTAAAATATAACTACTATTCTAAATCTATATGTACTTCAGTTTGATTTGGTTTATATACCATCGGTTTTTAGTTTATTCAATTTATACCAAAAAACATAATTATTTAGTTTGAGATCATATTATATATTATACAAATATATAATATGATCATATTTAGAGTCATATTGTCACAGAGTCATTTATTAAAAAAATATTATATATTTTAATAAAAGAATAAAAAAAAAGCCTTATATCATCTAATAAAATGATCAAATCTAGAATTAATATCAAAACACTAAATTTTGAAAATAAAAATAAAAAACAAAACAGAAGCATGAAAGAAAAGTTTTTAAATTCTTCCATATTTAGTGTTCATCAAACCAATATGTCTTCGATTGAACACAACTCTGTTTATTTAAAGATAAAAAAAAAATTGTAAAGAATTTCAACTAATTGTTGTCCATCAAATTTATAATCTTTACTTCAATTTAGTTACTGTTAAAAAAGCAAAAGATCAAAATAAGAAATCTTAGTTGTAATAAATTGTTAGCTATTTACAAATTATAATTATAGTTCAACTCATGTAACAAATAGATATTCATGCGTCGTTATAAATATATACATATTTATATGTTTCAGTTTAATCGATTATAAATCAAACCATATCCAAATCCTATGGTTTTTATAAAATCACATCCATTCGGTTTGTATGGTATATACCAAAAATAACCATATTATCGATTGTTAATATCTTTTAAAAATATAAAATTAAAAAAAGAACTAAGATATTTAAATCATTGATAACAAAAAATTTCAGTGTCAAAAATTTAATAAGTTTATAATTTATAAATGTTCTTGAAAATTTATTGAAAATTTTGAAATTAAAATATTTATGTAATCTTATATGGTATATAGTTTAATCTGTATATATATATATATATATATATATATATATATTTGTTTTATTATTGAATGATACTTTTTACTTATATGGTTTTAAAATCATGTATATCTTTTTATAATAAAATGTTAAACTATTGATCATTAATTTTTAACATAATAATTAATAGTTTAGTTATTTATTCTCGTTTCTTAAAATTCAAAATATAACCTATACGAAAAAATCTAAAGTTTAATTTTATAGCTAATTTGATTTTTTAATTTATTTTAATAATATAAAATTAAAGAAAAATGATGGAGGATATATAAACTGTTATCAAATATTTACTATTAGAATCATTAAGTGTCATATATATATATATATATATATATTAGTCATTTATGGTAATTCCGTAGGTTTTATTTATGGAAATAAAATAAAATAGTAACTATATCTTATGGAACAATCATTAAGTGTCATATATATATATATTAGTCTTTTATGGTAATTCCGTAGGTTTTATTTATGGAAAGAAAATAGCATATCATATCATTATATCATATAGTTTGATTAACTAATGTATCTAGCAACCTATAAAAATCCAATGTGTACTTACTTATTTTTCAATTGAATCTAATTGATTACCTAATTGAATGACACCTATGCATTGGAGCCTCTTTTAATTAATACAAAATTGAGGTTACATCTTTTCAAATGTTCCTCAATTAATATATAGGGGATACAGTTGAGGTTGATATCGACATAGAAAACCTAGTAAATATACAATAGCCGCAGTTATTCTTGGGTTCACTCCCTAGGGTGAACCTCTAAATTCACCATCCAATAGGATTACATCTTTCATATTT